CAAAAGGACTAGCAGACATTCATTGCCGACGTGGAACGGGATACGGTAATAAGGGTGCATCATCGACAGTAGTCATCCGGCTACTTGATTAGACGGCCAAGGGTCGCGACGCGGCTGCAGCGCGTCACGACCGCGGCGATCAGCTGTTTCCGGCCTAATTTGGCCATTTTCTCCCTAATTTTCAGTGTATTTTCTATTTTTTTCCGAGGTAAATGTTTCATTGCCTTTATGAAGCGTCTTAGGATGTGGACTCTTTTTTTTTTTACAATGGTGTTTCTGCGATTCTTTTCCAGGTACTTGTTTAATTGTCTGCTTAACTGTTTAACACGTTGACGACAACGCGGGTTTTTACTTTTCGGCCTCGTGGGACACGCGCGCTTTCTTGAACGCCACAAGCGCGGTACGCATACAATTCAAGCCGTCCCACGAAGCGCTTTTTTGGAGATTGGATCGAAAAACCTGGTTTAGAGAGCGATTGTGAAGTAAGTCAATTATTTACTATGGAAAAATCTGGGCTGGCCAACTCTCTTTGCACCAGGGCCAGGAATTTGTCTGTAACCAATTTTTTCATAAAAAACGCAAATCGTGCTTTCTATAGGATTCAGAATCCTTCACCTTATATTTTTTCATCATTATCAATGTTGTAATTGTCTGTATTTGTTGGCAAAGAGTTAAACAGCAAACCAATCCAAAGTTGAGGAGCAAACCAATTCAAGCTTATAGTGCTCTTTCCACAGGAAATCTTTGCTAAACTAGTGTGTACTAAATTATTCCATGGACCACGTGTTGTACGAGTATACTAAGGACTGGCCTATAGAATGAATAGGAGAAACTAAACAAAAATCATGCACTAGTGAAAGATATGGATTTGTTGATCGTGATTCGTATACAATTCGCGCGGTCCCACAAAGCGCGCATTAAATGCGTATCACGCTGTCGTCAATGTGTTAACTGTACGCAAAACCAGAGGAATCTCAATCATAATTTACCTTGTGAAGACAAGGAACAACTAATCTTGAGAAAAGCAGCCAAAACAGTGTAAATTAGGGAGAAAATGGCTAAAATAGGCTGGAAACAGCTGATCGCCGCGCTCGTGACGCCGCAGCCGCGTCGCGACCCTTGGCCGCCTAATCAAGTGCCCGGATGACGACTGGGTATAGGTGAAATGGCGCTGTCATTACGAAAACCTTAATTTTTCTCGTTTGAAGCAAAGATACGAGCCCTATCACAATCTAACTGCCATTCACCACGTTCTTCTAGCCGAACCGGGGTGAGACAAACCGAGTTAATAAGGTTTTTGCCGCGCCACCAACTAGAGTACAGTCCATATCACTGAAGCGCCGTAGGCGTGGCTGCATACTTCATTTCAACATGATTCAGAACGAGCTTACCGTGGGATTTTTCACACAACTGTCGCCTGGTCTTCTGTTGGACTGTGAAGCCACACCTACCGCATCTCAGAGTATGTGCTGCGCACTTTAAACGGGGGAAAGTAATGGACGGAAAGAAATTTCCCTGGGCAAATACGACATTCTCACC